GAATAAAATGATTGGAAGGGAGATATTTTAGATCATCCAAGTGTTTGCTCTGGTGGCTACAGGCGATTTAGCTAAGACAAGCGATATTTGCATTGCTGAGAGATCAGAACGGCATTGTGTGCACTCAGTACAAGTCACGCGAGCTGAGCAGATAGCAAAAGTAAAAATATTAATTGTAATATTCTGTTTTCAAATTATCTATATATTGTTAACATTTTAGAATCGTAAATGAAACCGCACGTTTGTATACTTTTTTACACTCCGTACTTAAATTGGTAGAGAAAACAATGGCGCAAGTAGATTGTCCATATACAGTCTACGAGTTTGACTCCTCCACAAGATGTATTAAATTCAAAGTCCATGCAGGCAAACAGATCTCTCTTTCCTTTCAGATGATTATATAAAGAAATGTAAACAGCGTACTTCGCACTAAAACATTATACATATAATATCCATGCTATATCACATATACACGTATGGATAAGTATATACTACATACAAACATATGTACATTTATATGAATGATAACGTTTTTATTAATAACTAAACAGAGAAATTGTTAATGCAATAAATTAAAGGTTTTATTAGCATAGTTAGAATGACCCGTTGCCTTTTAGCTAATTTCATAATACCTTTCATCCGTATCAACCAAGCTCTCGTTGCTTCTGGTTTCTGGAGTTATATCAATGTGTATGGCCTGGAGTTGTCTCGAAGGACACAATTCCTCCGCTATTTGTCTAAGGTGGCTGGATTATTACTTCCTTTAGACGGCCCAATTGGTTGTTGTTGTTGTAACGATTATCTAATCCCCGTTTGGGTGATAAATTCTAGTTGTTGTCGTCGAGGTCATCTAACGGAAGGCCAGGAAACGAGCTGTTTCGACGGGGTCGGACCATAGAGAGAGGGTGTTAGATGAGTGGGGTTTGTTGGGCATGCAAAGAGTGGTTAGTGTCATGCGGAGACTCATTGCATGCAGGACATGTGTTTGGTATGTCAGGGTCTATTCTGGATAGGTAGGAGTTTAACCTGCTACAGTATCAGAACGAAGTTGCGCGAGGGTCACTCTAGATTCGCGAGGCAACTCGAGCTCTGTGTCTGCAATGGGTGGTGGTTTGACTCGTATTACGCCATTCACTGAGAGGGAGTCGTGTGAAGGTGTTAATGGCTCCACTGTGAATGGCGGTCAGTGCCTGTCTGAAGTTAGTTGCGTCCGAAGTCTGGTCGGCGTACTGTCTAATGTCGTCGACGTAGTCAAGGAAGGACCTCTTGATGTTCCTAGGAGGCGGCTCCGCTACAAGCAGGCGACTGCAGGGGTGGTTTCTGCGAAACATCCAGCAGAAACTGTTGGAGAGGAGCTCGTTATGTTCCTTAACCGGAAGCATACGGGCCTCGCTATGTAGATGTTCGATTGGAACATCAAGAGGCATCCCGTGATAGTCCGGAGTGCAGTGTTCTGACAAGTCTGAAGCTTCTTCTGCGTGTCACTGCATCCAGGCGACCATATTGCGGCTGCATAATTGAGGACCGCCGGCCGATTGCCTTGTATGTTGCCAACAACGTTTCTTTGTCTTTTCCCCATGAGCTGCCGGCAAGCGACTGAGGATTTGTTGCGGCTCTGTACTTTGGCAGTTATCGCGGTCGTATGAGGAGTGAAAGAGCACAGACTGTCCAAAGTGACGCCTAAAATTTTAGGGTTATTTACTGTCGGAATTTTTGTGCCATCGACTGAAATGTTCAGGTCCAGTCTGTACTCCTTCGTCCAATGGTGAAGATGGTCGCTGTGGATTTAGTGGGGAGAGTGTTAGGTTCCTTGCAGAAAGAAGCGAGAAAGATCGGAGAGGTAGCCGTTTACTTTGAACACATGCCATCGATTCCATTGCCCGACGTCAATATCGTACAGTCATCTTCGTACGAGGTCATTGAAATTCCCGCTGGTGGCTGGGGAGTTTTGAAATATAGAATTAAACAGTAGCGGGGAGAGGACACCGCCCTGCGAACCCCTGTTAATTTTCCTGAGTTTGGAGTTTTGACCTCGAAATAGTACGGATGAGTGCCGACCGCTCAGGTAGTTCATGGTCCACCGCTTCAGCCCTGAGGGAGGAGGAGGAGCGTTGATTGTTCCAGGTCCTCAAGTAGCGTTGCGTGATTGACTGTGTCAAAAGCTTTTGACAAGTCCAACGCTACGAGGATTGTCCTCTCGCAGGGTGGCTTCTTTTCAGGCCATGAACTATCTGGGCGTTTATGACGCTAAGTGCTGTGGTGGTACTGTGCACTTTACGGAAGCCATGCTGATGGTCTGCTAGGCTCAGGTGGTGGGTGAATGACGGAGTAACAAGGCCTCAAGTGTCTTCACTACTGGGAAAGGAGAGTTATCGGGCGATAAGACTCCTCTTTGTTGGCGGGTTTCCAGGTTTCAGCAGCGGGACCACTATTCCGACTTTCCACACGTCGGGTATTTGAAGAGTGGATATCGACAGGTTGAGGACCTTGGTGAGATAGTTTACTCCCGTTGGTCCTAGGTGTTTTAACATCAGCATGCTTATTCCATCAGGGCCGATGGATTTAGACGATTTCGCCTTTTGATGACACTCTGAACCTCCTATCGGTGAAAGTAAGTGGTGCGCAGTCTTTGGCATTTTCGCAGCCGTCGGGTAACACATCGTTTGGCCTTGTCGGTCGAAGGGTGCAGTATAAACTGCCGCTAAAGTAGCTCGCGCACTTCTTCGGGTCCGAGGAGGCATGGCCATCGAATTAAATTTCAACCCGATCGCCATGTCTCCTCGGATTTGACAGGGCCTTGACAGTAGTCCAAAGTTTACTCACACCGGTGGAGAGGTTGCAGGACTTCAGGTGCTCTATCCATTTTGTCCGCTTATGATGATTACCATTTGCCGAATCTCCAAATTGAGATCCTTATTCGGGGATCACAGGGATCGGCATGGCGTAAGGTGTCCGCGCTCATTTGCTAATACAGCTGCTTCGGCTGGGAAATTAGGGCGGAGTTCCGCTATTCTTCCAGCCGGTATGACATTAACATAATGCGGTTATCCACAGAAATAAAGTCAGGAGGTTTCTCGATCGAGATAATTATGGGCAGATGGTCTGATGCAAGAGTTAGCATAGGTCGCCAGGTTATACTATTTATCAGACCACCGCTAGCGATGGTAATATTGGGCGAGCTATTACAGGTGCCCATAATTCTGTGGGGCTTCGTCGTTCATTGTGCAGAATGTCGAATCGTCTATCTGTTCCGCCAGCTCCATCCCCTACGATCGTTTGACAGGCAGGAATGCCAAAGATCGTGATGCGCGTTAAAGTCGCCTAGCACCAGACAGTTTCACCACGAAGTAGCGCATCTATATTCGGGTGATATCCTGTTGGGCAACATGTAACTGGGGGGATGTATATATTAAATATTTTGAGCTCGACATCGCCTGACCGCACATCTATACCCTGACATTCTAGGGTGGTGTACCTGCGGTCGATGTCAACATCGATTAGACGATATTGCACGGTGTTGTGACAACACCGTGCAATATGAAGGCTAGGCCTCCACCATTATCCCGCTCGTGATCCTTACGTCAAACGTTGAAACCTGCACAACTCAGAAGATCTGAGTGGCTGTTTAGCTTAGTTTCTTGGACCGCAGCTATCGTTACGCGCTCCCGGCTCATAAATGCAACTATCTCCTCGATCTTGCTCTGGAGTCCGTTGCAGTTAAATTGTAAGAGTCGCGTTTGTCGCGGGTGTCCAGTCGTGATCCTAGGGGTGAGTGCAGAAAGTGACACCAGCCAGTACAAGAATTGCACTTGACTGATGTGACATTCCGGCGTATAATGGTCTGACACACGGAACAGACTGTGCGAGGAACCAGGAGTTGCTGGGTGGTTCTCGCACGAGGATTGGAGCTGGATGAAGGTTGGGGGGGGAGGTTGGTCAGATTGGGAGTTATGCTGTCTGTGTGAGCTCCTTGGGACCGTGGAGGTCCTATCTTGGCCACTCGACTGGAGTCTAATATGTTTGAAGTTGAGACCTTGGGTAAATCCCTTCAACCCCTATATAATGAAGATCTTATATGGCGGAATATAGGCCTCCTGGGGAACCGAACACCCAAAAAAGATCGGTAACGCGAATATATTGCAACCTCAGAGGTGGTGAGGAAAAGCAATAAATATATAATAATCTTTTGTTTGGAAAATATTCTTGAAAGTTTTCATTATTATTTCCATTACAAATACATATTCATAAACAAATTGTTAAACTACATCCTTTTATTTAAAACTCTGTGTCAAAAAAACACATAGCTGATTCTTTGGGCACTTTTAAGCTTATACAATGCTTTTAACGCCGTATGTCCACAGGCGACGTATGTACATTGCTAACTATCTGTCAAATACATTGCCATTGAGGTTGGCAATGTTCTTGTGTGGACGTCGGGTAGGATTTTTCGAACTGATATAGCGCATGTTTGAGCTCTTGAACGGTTTAAAAAATGTATGAGGATGACAAAAATGTATGTGGTTTACAAATGTATATTTTAAGAAAAAGTGTTTATGTTTTAAGACTTAAATAATTGTTGCGTGAAGTTTATTCCCAATTCAATTATTATATATGATGATTGCTATTTTCATATGCTAACAATAATCATCTATCAACTACACATATGTGTGTATTAAATTACTATTTTCCATGTTTTGATAAAATTTATGTTTTGGTTATAAAACATTGGCTTTTCATATTCGCTGGCATCATACCACCGAAGCTTCGCATGTGCATAAATCTTGCCTCTTCAAAATTTGTGTGCGAATTAAATAGCTATGTCAAACTATCAAAATGACAGTTCATTGCTAGCAATGTATGGCATTAAATGTATTTAGACATCAATTGCTAAACATTAACAATGTGCAGTCTCTAATGGCAATATTGCTAGCAATTCAGATTATTAGCAATCTTAAATTGCTTGCCGATGTGCCCCTTTACGCGACAGCACTTTAAAGGCCCGTTCACTTACAACTCCCTCGCTTTACATTGACAGTTCATATAGAAACAACGAAGCGAAGAAAACAAAGGGTATGCCACAATGAACGCGTTGCTGGCAAAGCGTAAAAATATGAGAACTTGCATGTCAAAACAAATGACTGACGCAAAGCGGAGCAAAAGTTCTCTGTGAATTGGGTAATACTAGAACTGTGTCTTCTGTATAATCCAGCAACCCTTATAGATCGTTAACGAAACTTCGCCACTCGAACGCTCTGGCAACTACGAATATCGCTGTCTAGTTAATGCTAGCAATTTATTGTCGCTTCTATTTTGTTCTAGCACCGTCTTTACATGACGATCCGACTCGCCGATTTTTTTCATTCTTTCAAGATCGGGACGAATGTTTCAGCAGCATTTGAAGTAGAAATAACTTTTTTGTAGATTATTTTTCTGGTGAAAATTTTGTAGTTTTATGAACACATATTTCAAGATGATTTCATTTATTTTACCATCAATTATTTATTTTTATGACAGTAATCGAAAATAAAGTTTGAATAAATCACTTATTCATTTTGCGCTACTGGGATGTTATACGAAAACGGCAAAGCAGAATGACTAACTGTCAGATGTGAAGGAAGCACATTCATTTTATATTGTCATTTGCTTTGCGATTGTGATTTGAAGTGATTGGTGTGCTACTGTTAATTGTTATACTTGTTCGCATATCAGAGAAACGATAGAACTGTATATAAAAACCATTAACGCGTGAGACATACCTTAGACGATTTAGTGTAGCATACCTGGAACATCAAAGACAGCGTAGACACCAGTACACTTTTTATATACATACACACTCCGAACCGCTTAATTTGTTTGTGTAGATTACGCACCAATTGGTACAATGATTCCGGCAATAACATCGAATGACAAATTTCACAATGTTATTATTAGTACAGGAAATATTCTTAACTTAAATAACCAATTAGGTGGAAAGTCAACTGAAGAGATTCTGGACGGTTTAAGTTTGACATTACAGTGCCAAGCAGCGGCCTCACAAGTGGAATTGATTGAAGCAGATGGTTGTGTGCTCCGAGCTACAGAAGAGCTCAAGCAGAAATTAACTGAAAACGACCGATCAGATATTAGTATTGGTGCTAAAATATTTTTAAACAAAAACTCTAGTGCATATATAAAGCAGGCGATAAGAACGTTGTTGCAAGTACTTAAAGTAGAGCACGTGGACAACGTGGTGTTAGCGTATCACCCGACAACTGGAGATAATTCATCAAACACCAACAATAAAGAACATGTTCAAATTAATGACAAATCAAATCAATTGAAAGAGCTTTGGACGTCGTTGGAAGAATTTGCTCAGCAAAAGAAAATAACACAATTGGGCATTGCAGATTTGGATATTGAACAACTGCGCCAATTATATGCAACAGTCGAGGTTCATCCGACCATAGCACAAATTAATTTGGAATCGTGCTGTGTAGTGCCACCAGCATTACAAGAATATTGTACAAAGCATGATATACAACTGTTGACACATAGCGATCCAGAAGTTTTGTTACCCGATGAACAATTCATTGTACCCGGCTACAAAGTAGATTGGGCTTTACGTTATCAAGTACATGTTCGATGTCGCGGTGTAATAACTGCCAAAGGCTACATACTCGGAGCTAGCAAATGCGACCAAATAGAAAAACACGTAGCAGTTTGAATGCCATTTTAGTTCAAAAGCTATTATCGCGGGTGGAGGGGCAATTGCGGGTTATTTGTGTGTATGTTTGTGCTACTCATGTATAGAGAGAGACCGGTTAAGCGATCATAACTATATTGGTGCGCCGAAAACTTATTTTGGTGAATTCAAATATACCATTTCGATATGAAAATGTAGTAAAGGGATTTGATGGCCTTACTGGATGCAGCATGCTAAGCTTTTCTATCACTGCAAAAAAATAGGATTATCATACATCCTATATGCATATGAATTTATAAAGACGAAGTAGGTTGCGCTCAGTAAAAATATACGATGATTTACATTTTACAGTACTTTTATTGCGGATATATATAATTAAAGCAATATTGAGGCGTTGCAAGTATCCATGTAATGAGCTTTTACAGGTCTGAAAGACTAATTCGAAAAGTAAAAGTTTACGAGTGTATATAAGCTACAAAATAAGAAATCAAAAACAGAAACTCAGAATATGTAATTAAATGTTTTAAAGAATTATTGTTTTACATTAAATATTGCAACACAATTGCTGGCATTTTCCTTAATTAAAATAAAAAACTTTTACCAAATTCGTGCATTAATTTTTGAAATATAACATGAAATATTTAATAATAGAAAAATTATTTAAATATGTTTTTGTAATTCATAAACTTTAATATATACATTCATATATACATATTTATACTAATAAAAATGAAATAAATTTGTATATTTTAGGAATGCATTGTACACTTAAAATAAAGCTAGAAATAATTATATGAAACACAAAACAGCTGCAAGCTATGGGTTTATACATAAGTATGTAGAATTTTATTGTATTAATGTTGTAATGTAATTACACGATTCGCTGCAATTTCACAATAAACATTTTTTTAGTTAAAAATAAATTATATGAAAAACAACGAACAGTTTATCACAACTATTATTTGCCTCTTATCTACTTTCTCCTTATTACGGAGCTGTACAATCGGTATTGAATGTTTTCATATGTATTATGGGTCAAAATGTGGATTCTTTTAATAGAACCGATCGCAGATGAAAAAATGAAAATTTTGAGACTGGAACGCTTGGTATTTGTGCATATGTGCACAACATCACACAATTCAAATAATTTCAATATTTATGCCTGAACAGGGTCTGAACAAACTAGTCAAGCGAACTAGTCCCCCAGTTTTTGAGATATCGACGTAAAATTTTGTGCACGCGATTTTTTCCCGATATCGACAAACTATAGCATAAGCAGCTGCCATATAAACTGATTCTACTTTCTATGGATAACTTTTATTTGGCAAGATATTTTCACCAATTTGGCACGGATTATTGTACTATGAATCGGACGGCTGAGGGCAGCATATAGCTGCCGTGCAAACTGACCGATCAAAATTAAGTAACTGTTTGGAATCTTTTGAATTTATGAAGGATATTATTGCTACGGTGCAACCGAAGCAGCGTTTTTTTTCTCATTTTTGTTTTTTTTGATAATATCCTTCCTGTTTACATTACATTTGCACCAAATATTTTTAATTAGCTTACCACGAGAGACAAATCCTGGAATAAACCAATTCACCAAACCAATTCACTGTTATTTTTTGGAGTGTTGTCATAAATCAGTACTGAATAAATTGATATAACGGTAAAACTACAATAAATTATATAAGTACATATTTATAACATTTTCTTACATTTAGTACTCAATGAAATTTATGAACGGAAGTGCTATGCTGATTATTATCTAATACGGTTAATAAAATGTAAATAAAAGCCTTTAAATAATTTAAAATTTACGATAGAATAAGAGGAGCGGTCTATAGAAATAGTTTGCAGTTAATAAATTAATAAAAAAAAAAATGAATCACCCTTGTTTAACTGTGGTGGCATTATATTTATATTGTATCCCTAAGATAATGAAATTCTGCTTTTACTTTGCTTGCACGATGAATAATGTTAATTTTTATTAATATTTTCTTTTTTATGTTTTTTTTTTATATTTTCTTTTTGTATATTTTTTATTTTTTTATATAAGAGAGGTTTAGAAGGACTTCCAATGTATAAAATATTTCCTTTTTTGTTTTTACAAACTGTAGTTTTTCTTCACTGACAATTATAAGATATGCAAATGCATACAAATGTGAATAATCGAATATGAATCGCTGCGTTAAATTGCATAATGATTCTTGTACATTTAGCGGTTCATAAATATGTACAACATTTCCTTACTGTAAAGTTAAATCGGTTTTTCGACGTCTAAAGTGATTGTTTAATAAATAATATATTATTATTCTCAGCTCTCTTCAGAAGTCTAGCTAATATGATGTCAGAGAAAAGTGCCGTTTGAAATTTCTTTGTTTATTTCGAAATAAAAAAACAAAAATAAAACTTTTTTAGTGAGCACGACAAAGTTAAATCGGTTCCTGGTATTAATCTTTATATTACACTATGACGTCTGTATATACATACATACATACATAGGTACATGTAGAGAAACATATTATGATTTTCAGTTGTATAAATAAATATGTTTCGACTCCCTTCTGACTCATATATTAGATACATTAGTATTTATGTAGTAGTTTATATAAACACGAAGTTAGAAAAAAAAATAAAAAAAAACACTGGACATAATTTAATATTATTAAATTTTGCGCAAAGAAAAATAACAAAAGTAAATAAAAATAAAATCGTGTATGGCGTAGGTATAAACATATGTATTTATATAGAATTCATTTCGTGGATATACATATGTAGGATACCGATTTTATTTCGTTACTATCTATTTTAGCTGTATGCTCTGTAGAGTGCATAGAATTTCGTAATACGCAGCTATTGAATTGTACCTTAATGAGTTGTCCTCTTCGTCGGTGTTACTCTTGATTAGATAGCGATGACTTGTAATTTTTTCGTTATACAACAACAACAATAATTACATTAACAAGCCACATGTGTGCATATCATCTAATATGTCTGTACAAATTTGTTTGTGTATACATGTATATACTCGTATATGTATGCATATATACAAATGTATATGCTTTTGTATTTGCATGACTATATTTATTTACTTACAAATGCATATACATATATAGATATGTATACGTACATATGTATATGTAGAATATACATACATATCTATATAAAGTGTTCTATATTTAGTTGTGGTTTAAATGCATGGAAATAATAAAGAATTTAGTGAAATTTGTCAAGTATATTATAATGTAATACGAGGGTGTGTCTATGCGTCCATGAGTACTAAAATATGCCACCGCGTCCGGTTGGTGGGAGGAATAGGGAATATTTTTTAGTTATTTTTAATATTTATAAAATATAAAAAAATAACTTATTTTAGTTTTGTTGTTTCGTGGTATTTTCTCAAAGAGCTAACTATAATTTTGGAAAAATAATTACAATTTTTTAGATATAAATATTAATTGGTTTTATTAGGGCTGAATTTTTACAAATTTTACAAATAATTTGTTGATAATATATCAAGCTTTTCCAACGAAAATGACGTAAGCGCGAAAATCCAAAATTTACAGGAAAATGTTTTTATAGTTTAAATCAATGTTGATTGAGGGATTTCACGGAATGAATTTAGTAAAATTTTACTTTTATGCGTTTCAAATCTTTGTTTTTATATAAAAAATTCCCTCAATTACAACAGCAGTATTAACTATTTATACAGATGCACATATATACCGGATATATCATCTTCATCAGTTAGATTTGTGAAGACCAAGGTATTCATAATGAAACTCATTTGGAATACTTCTTTTATCACAATGTAACTTTTAATTATTAAATTTATTTAATGTTGTTTTTAATTCTTTCAAATATAAAAGCGAAGGGGTTCGTCTGAGTCAATAGTAAAACATTTTCCAATTAATTCATCCAGAAAACTGTACTTAAAAAAATGTTTTATTTTAAATATTAATTAATTTAAGCTATTCGCGTTTGGCGTCAGTATGTTTGCAAGTAATTTCCATTTAAGAAGGTCGTAATATTGTAGATGAATTGATTCATAAGGACGGTGGTTGATTCGAGCACACCTTATTATTGTAGTCACTCACTAGTAGCCCAGATTGTTCGATTTCGAGTAAATGATTCGATGGCGCTGATTGGCTGATTATGGCTGATTTTATAAAAAGGGGAATCATGGTTTTGCCCTGCGCAACTAACGCAGTAAAAAACTTCTAAATTCGGCAGTTTTTCTTTAGTCAAAAATCAAAAGATACTTATAAATAGCTGTGCATATTACATTACATCCACGTTTGCCATCTTTTTCTCCCCATAAGAAACAATAGACATTTATGTTCCATTTACATAAACACTTAAATTATAGTATACATACTTCTTAGAACAAAATAATGTAATATTTTAGCTATGTGGGGTATTTAACACCTTCTGAAGATCGAAACTGGCACTTAGAAACGAATTTTTATTTTTTATTTTTTTTTGATAATTTAAAAATATTTTTTTAATATTTCTATTTTAGATGGGTCTTTACTTTGATCACTAGTAATACATTTGTCTTTTTTCTGGGTAAACGGAATCCAATGTGAAAATTATTATTAAAAATTGTGCTAAATACTTTTAAAGGCACTGAAGAATTTAACTGTTGTTTTCACGTAAATATTCTTAATAATGCTTATATAATGTTGATATATTAAAAAATTCTTTAGGCAAATAGAATTTATTACTTTTATCCCGACGATAGAGAGATGGAACATCTGGTAGTTCTTCAGTATATTTTTTTTAAAATAAAGAATTTTCCTTTTCTGTTCTATTATGCGGGGTTTTATTTTTATTTTGTTTTATATGTGTCTTTTAATGTTTTTCTTGACAATGCATGATGCCAACCAAGATTTTGGTTTGGCTCACTCATGCCCCAAAAATGCTCGTGGATGGCCTGTTAATCTTCTTCTTTATTTTGATAATGACAGGAATTGGGTTGGACAAATTTAGCTGAGTGAGATCGAGCAGTTTCCTTGTTATTGTTTTGTGTTTTGTAACCCTATTTTCCAATGCAAATTTTCTCTTCAACTGAACTGTCATCTGTATTTCAGACGCATTCGATATCACTGTATGGTACAAGTGACATTGTGATAACCTTAAATAGAATATAAACGTAAAACCACAAGAAAAGTTTTAACACAACGCTGTAGCAAAACACGAACACGTTAGACAATACAATATTTATGTCGCGTACATTATTTCCACAGGCACGAAAAAGATTCGATCTCTTGCATTTTAATTTTTAGGTCCATATCTCAATTATTATACTGAATTGGCATTTGAACATTTCTGTGTAGATGTGTTTCGAAATTGTCAACATTATTGTATAAAAAAAATAGACAAAAGGTCGCTTACGTTATTTTCGCGGGAAGGGCGCGATATATCATCAAATTTTCGATAAATTAAGAGAAACAATAACAAAAAAAAAAAAAGAAATCGTTAATTTCGGTTGCACGGCAGCTATAATACCCTTCAAAAATAAAAAAGTTTACCATGCAAGAACTTGAATTTGATCGGTCAGTTTGTATGACAGCTACATATATGCTTTACAAGCAGTGGTCCGATCTGAAATTTTTTTTCAAATATTGTAGCGTTGCCTTGAACAATAATCCATGTCGAATTTCGTGAAGATATCTTGTCAAATAAAATAGTTTTCTATACAAAAACTTGATTTTGATCGTTTATTATTAATGGAGGTTCCGACAAACGAGCAGCTTCTTCGGGAGAAAAGGACGTGTGCAAAATTTTAGATCGATATCTCAAAAACTGATGGACTAGTTCGCCTAAATACAGACAGACAGACGGACATTTCTAAATCGACTCAGCTAGTCACGCTCATCATTTATATAGTATCTATTTTATAGGGTCTCCAACGTTTCCTTCTAGGTGATAC